ATGTGATATGCAGCAATTTCTTTGCTATTTTTTATTTTGGGATTATGCTGGTGCTTCTTTTATTCTTTTTATTTTTTTTTTCTCCCCTTGAATTCTTTCCACCTCTTTCTGTGACTGAGAACTGATTGTAGAGTAAATGTAAGGTCTTTTCACAGTGGTCTCCAAACACAAATTATCCTGCAATAGTTTGGTAAAATGAAGATGTGTTTGTAGAGACCAGTTCTAGGTCTCTACAAATACAAACATTTTCTCATTCTTTGCACTGAAATTTGTGGTCTTGGAACTTTTCTGAGAAAATAGACATTAATTGAAACAGAAGAGATTCTAACTTGATATATGTAGATTTTTTCCTTCATTGTAACAGTCAAATATAGAAGTGAGAGGTTGTCTAGTCTTTTATCTTTGAAGATTTTCAAGACACTACCGGATAAATCCCTGTTTATCTGGGCCATGGAACAGCAGTTTAATTTTTGTAATGAATTGTGGCAGTCATAGGCACTAAGATTGTGAAAATCCCTTTCTCTGCTTTGTCTTGCTGAGTCCTGCCAGCAAGTAGTAAGGTTATCCGTTGCAAGGGAATGTTATTATATAGGTATTTTAACAAAGATATCAACTTACCCGAAGTTAAAAGAAGCTGCAGAGACTCTTATAGCATTTGGGACCAAAGTTTAAAGAAACCAAGCCATTGATCAATGTATGGCAAGCTTGTCTGTTATCTCTCCTACTGTCCTGTCTCCAATAGTGGGAAAAAAAAAATCACTAATCTTAGCTAAGGAAGAATGGGATAAGCATATAAGATACTTTGCTAGTTTTCAGCTATTTTCAGCGTGGATTGTTTCTTGAAATAGTAATGATTTCTAGGCATGAGTGTTTGTATAGCTAATACCTCCTGCTGGAATCTCCATCGAAGTTTAAGTAATTAACTGAAGTTATGTGAAAGACTAAAAACAATAACTGGCACTACTAAAATCCTCTGCACTGGCAGATGATTCTTTGTTTAGCCTTTCATTATATCCATCACCTTCTCTGGGAGTCAGTCTTGAAGAATCACTGCTATTTTCATGAATTCCTAACTGTCTAGTTGAAACTAAGTCTGATTTGAAACTACTGCTGCAGGATGCCATAAACCAGTGTGTTCTTACACCTGTTGGAAGCACCAGTGAACACTGCACCAAAATAAATCATGAGGGGCTTATTAAAGTTCTGTGCAGCTTGGGAAATCTCCACTGGTTGTGTCCCATGTAAAGTCAGCCTGAAAGTATTGATAACATTCTTTAGAAGCTTCAGAGGCTCTAGAAATTTATGCTGTTTTGAAAACATCGTTCCTTTATCTCCTCTTTTCCTCCCTCTCCAAATGTAGGACTTCTTTCTTAATTTTGGAACTTCTGTCCTCTCATAACTAACGTGAACATGAGCTAATCTAGTGAGGATAGTCATCTTTCATGTAGCACTGTGATATGTCTGCAAATGTAGCAGACTTAAGTACAGTCTGTTTAAATCTCTGATAAAAGTGTTTTTAGAAAGAAAAACAACAGTAAACTAACATCAGTAAGCAAAATTATAAGTGAAAGCTTGATTGCTGAACTATCTTGAAGGCCATGTAGAGGTGATTTTGTTATGTGTTTGATGTTTTACAAGTAGCATGGTACTGACAAGATTTGGTTATTACTGTTTTTTAAAAAAAATCTTAATTATAAATGTGAGGTAGTATGAGAAACCTCTTTTGTATTTAAAATACCTGCTTAATTTTGTGAAAAGAAGTTCAGAAGGAAAAACATTTATTTGGATTAAACAATGGCTCATTTTGAGACCATGGGCATAGAAAATTCAGTTATTAAGAATAAAAGCAGAGCTAGTATGTTGAGCAAGAGTGACCTTTCTAAGAAACAATTATAAAATTGTCTGTTAAAAATGATGAGAATTTGGATGGTTATTCTGTGCATATAATTCTATGTCTTTAACTGAAAATAATTTAGCCTTGCATTTGCTATGGACATTTGTTTATTGAAGGACTTTCTTACAGCTAACATAGTGATGCTGCAGTAACCTTTTTCAGCTTGAATAAGTAAGTTGGAAATCACCAGTGATTTGCAAACTTAGATGAAAACCAGAGTTATTATCTTGAATACATTAGCTGCAAGATTTAAATGCTGGCACTTGTAGTAGCTGTGGCTAATAGCATCAGTACTGCTGCTTAGTGGCAGTAAGCTCAGCCCTTGGAGCAATGGAAATTAAAATCTTTATAATCTCTTAGGGGCTCTCCCTTTTTGTATTCTGTTTTGAATGCATTTTATGATGTAGACATCTGTTTGCTAAAAATTTAATTAGTACTGCTGTCTGGTTTCAGCCAATTGAGTTATCTTAAGCTAAAAGTTAAAGGATGAGTACTGCCTTTACAAATTAAAAAAAAAAAAATCATACTAATGCTGCAGCCTTAAATTCTCAGTGTTTGTGAGTGAGACTGGTTCCACATATTCTTTCTGGTCTTGACCAGACAGTGACAGTTTATACACAGTTGTCATCTGAATTAGGCAAACCATATGTACTCCCACCACCCTCCTGTGTGTGGGTGGCAGTGTACAGGAACAAGAACTGGGTACTTTCTCTGCTTGGCATCCCTCATCAGTGTGGATCCAAAACATACAACTTTACTGCAGAACTGTTTTGCTAGTCAACAACTACTGTACCCCACCCACATTTCTAACTAGCAGATGGTGAGGCAAGCCTGTAGAACATGGTGATGGATTTTACTATATCACTTGAAAAGTAAATAAATAATATTTAAAGATCTAGATTAAAAAACTAATTAGCCATAAAACCATAGCATCATATAAGTATGGGATTTTATAATCTCTGTAAAACTTTCATGGTCACATTTAATAAATATTACTTCAGTAAGTTAAAGTACTACTGAAGCATGAGACAGTGTTTTTTTAAGGTATTGGTCATCCTAACATTCTCAGTATCTGAGATTTCTGACTAAGACATTTGTTCTGGAAGAAAAAATCAAATACTATTCTGCTATAAGTCCGTTTGATTTAAAAAAGTGGGATTTGATAAGCATTTAGAACAAGATATCTTTCAGCATGAATAAACAGAACAAATTACTTCATTAACTTTCAGCTGCTGTGCATTTGTGTGAAACCATGCTAAAACTATAACCCTGTCAGCACTGTATTCTTTCTATGATTTCTAAATCATAGTATGATATTTCCAAGTTACCAGCTGGTGGGCTGCTGTTTGCTCTGGACATCAGGTAAGATTTTTCCCTGCTCTTCAGGAATCAAGATGCTGTATGCCAGGTCGTGTTTGCCTCTGTTTCTCTCTCAATTGTATTCAGCTTATTCTTTCTGTGGCTGCTACACAGCTTTTTGCATAGTTACATAAATTTGGTTTGAATAATCTCAGTTTGGTATTTTACTATAATTTAGTAATTTAAAAATAATAGCTTTTAACATGATCTCTCTGTGCATGAAAATTATCACTGGAAACAAACTACTAAAATTCAATTCAGTTTTTTTTTTTTTTTTTTTCTGATTAGGAGCATGCTTAGAACTTTACTAAGATAGGGACTTTGCCTTATTGAGCTCACCATCTGTCTAAGTTGCAGTATTAATGTGTGCTCTAATGAACACTTTTAATACACAAAAAGGAAATTTCCACAAAGATATCTAATGAATTACTGTCAAAGTGTGATTACAGAAATGCTATTATGTCCTAACACAATATTCAATAACCACTCTGTAGTTATGTAACAGCAGCAGCAAGATTCAAAGAAAATTGCTTATTAGGTTTGACCCAAGAATCTGTATCTTGCTTGAACAATTTTATCAGAAGAGTATGACCTGTCAGTCTCTCTCACTTCCCTGAACCATGATCTCTCTTCTGACTTTCTATTCTGTTAAATTCACGTAATTTATCTTATCTTTTGTCTAGGAACCTCATCCCATATATTTTAAAAATCTGCATTTTGTACATAGCAGCAGGATATCTTCTAGCATCATTAATTGAATTTACACAGTACCTCTGAGCACCAACATAAGGCATTTTACCAAAGATAACAGTAATATAATGATGAAGAGATAGTGGTTCCAAATTCTAAACTTAAGGAAAAATGTAATCAAGTTGGTTTTCAAGTTGATTTTACAGATGAAAGAAGTCAAATATTTTTGTATATCTCTGAATGAAAAAAAAAAACCCCAAACACATTCTGTGATGATACATTTACTTATTGCTAAGGCTTGAACTCCAACATCAGAATACACATACTAATGTAAAGTGTTATCGGAAATTGAATGAAGGAAATAAATTCTGTTTTGTACTGCGTCAAAACTGAAGTTACTGCCTTCTCTCATTTTCTTTAAATGTTTCTTTTACAATGTTTTTATATTGTCATTTGGCTGCCTGCTCAGTGTCCATGTTGCATTCTCACAAGGAATGCATTACAGTAGTTTTAAGAGGATGAAAATGCTACAATGAGTCAGGGTCGCTTACTTACATTAATAGCAAAACAATATCCATTATCATTCCAAATACAGGAGTTGTATTCAAATCTTTCTGATATCTGATTTATAAGATGAGGTGCCATACTTATCTGTTCTCTAGTCTGTTTTATTGAAATGCCATCATTGTAAACTAGTTCTAAATACTGTAGTTCATTTGTGTCCAGTAAGTCCAAAGACAATGTGAGTGGAAAGGACAAGTCAACAAATATAAACTCCTAGTATTGTGAAAGGAAGTGCAGAAGAAGTTGAAAATCTATTCATTGTACTTCCCCTTAAAGAATTTGGCTGGTAAATGACATATGCAACCTTCTGAATGTATCTGTGTGTGTAATGATGTTGCAGTGAGTAACTAAATATTGTGTTTGTTGTTTTGTATGGGTTTTTTTGTTCGTTTGTGGGTTTTTTTTGTTTGTGGGGATTTTTTTTTTTTAGGAAATAAGCTTATTTCTAGGTGAATTAATAAAAGACTTGTGGCTTGCATTGCTTTCTCCCTAGTCCTGAAGTTGTAAAGGGTGAGCTGTATGGAGAGACGGTTGATGTTTGGGCTGCAGACATCCTTTATCAGCTGGCCACTGTGGACCAACCATTTTACAGTACCAATATGCTCTCCTTGGCAACTAAGGTATTCATATTTGCCAAATCAGCCTCCCAGTTATTTCTGCATGTGTTCTCATGATCCAAGAGAATTTATATTTAAGTTTATTGACACATGAACTGCTCTCAGCTTGAATGTGTGTGGCTTGTGAACAAGCACAAGTGCTTATCATTGTGTGAATTACTGCCTAACTATTCAAATGGTAAAAGTTGCTTGTAAATGTTCAATATTGTAGCACTTGAATCTACTGTAAGTATGTACACTAATGTGGATACCTGACTAGAAGAGACAGTCTGCAGCTAAGTTATTCAGCAAGTTAGAGCTGATGATGTAATGCTCATCAGATAGTTTCAAGGGACAATACTTATCATATTGGATCCTCAGATAAATACTGGAGTATTTTTCCTCAACAAACTTTTTTTTTCTTTTTTTTCAGATAGTAGGGGCTATGTATGAACCTGTGCCAGAAGGACTGTACTCTGAAAAAGTGTCATTTACCATTAAGAGGTAATTACTCATTTTATTTCGACATCCTGCTGTAAAGATGTTTTTGTTTTGTATGCTTCCAGCAGAGATAATGTGCCAGTTTTCAGACTTTAGCAACTGCCAGAATTTGTTTCTGAATAGGAAATATCTTTGGATTTAAAGAAAAACAGGCCTATCTCCTTACATCAGTAATAACATATACAATATAGGTGCACACATGCAACTGGAAAACTCATACCAGTATAGCCAGGGCATTTATTTATCCACTATCAACCATATATTCAGTACTGAAATTTACATTTAATATATGTGCTGTACTTAATTCCCTACACATCATTCTTTTTCCCCTTAAAATTCCACCATTTTGAATAGTTTTCAAATGCAGATTGTGGTCAAGGAAATAACCCTATTAAAATATGTATTTGTAGATCACTGTATGATCATGTTCAGTTTTTTTCTCTTTATTTGACTGATGGAAATATGTTTTGTGCTACCTTATAATTCTTTTAGCACAGTAGCAGAGGTAACAAAGTAATGGAGGAAAAGATGAGCCTGTACTTCCTACACTCACTCATCACAGATTTCTTAGCTATGTTTATATCATCCTGGAGATAATGTAACATGCAAGGCAAAGTGTAGAGTGAATTAGAGATTTAGTTGGCTCCCTTGATTTTTCCATTTTAGAAAAAAAAAAACACTTTAGCACAAAAATGCTTATACTTTCTCATTCAGATATTCAATTTTGTCTCTAAAAAGAACATTACAAAAAAGGTTTGTGTAAGGTTATAAACGAAGTTTTTTCTGGTATATTTTATTGGAGAGGAAGGTTTCTGTTCCTTAAAGANTTGAACTCCAACATCAGAATACACATACTAATGTAAAGTGTTATCGGAAATTGAATGAAGGAAATAAATTCTGTTTTGTACAGCGTCAAAACTGAAGTTACTGCCTTCTCTCGTTTTCTTTAAATGTATCTTTTACAATGTTTTTGTATTGTCATTTGGCTGCCTGCTCAGTGTCCATGTTGCATTCTCACAAGGAATGCATTACAGTAGTTTTAAGAGGATGAAAATGCTACAATGAGTCAGGGTCGTTTACTTACATTAATAGCAAAACAATATCCATTATCATTCCAAATACAGGAGTTGTATTCAAATCTTTCTGATATCTGATTTATAAGATGAGGTGCCATACTTATCTGTTCTCTAGTCTGTTTTATTGAAATGCCATCATTGTAAACTAGTTCTAAATACTGTAGTTCATTTGTGTCCAGTAAGTCCAAAGACAATGTGAGTGGAAAGGACAAGTCAACAAATATAAACCCCTAGTATTGTGAGAGGAAGTGCAGAAGAAGTTGAAAATCTATTCATTGTACTTCCCCTTAAAGATTTTGGCTGGTAAATGACATATGCAACCTTCTGAATGTACCTGTGTGTGTAATGATGTTGCAGTGAGTAACTAAATATTGTGTTTGTTGTTTTGTATGGGTTTTTTTGTTCGTTTGTGGTTTTTTTTTGTTTGTGGGGATTTTTTTTTTTTTTTAGGAAATAAGCTTATTTCTAGGTGAATTAATAAAAGACTTGTAGCTTGCATTGCTATCTCTCTAGTCCTGATGTTGTAAAGGGTGAGCTGTATGGAGAGAAGGTTGATGTTTGGGCTGCAGACATCCTTTATCAGCTGGCCACTGTGGACCAACCATTTTACAGTACCAATATGCTCTCCTTGGCAACTAAGGTATTCATATTTGCCAAATCAGCCTCCCAGTTATTTCTGCATGTGTTCTCATGATCCAAGAGAATTTATATTTAAGTTTATTGACACATGAACTGCTCTCAGCTTGAATGTGTGTGGCTTGTGAACAAGCACAAGTGCTTATCATTGTGTGAATTACTGCCTAACTATTCAAATGGTAAAAGTTGCTTGTAAATGTTCAATATTGTAGCACTTGAATCTACTGTAAGTATGTACACTAATGTGGATACCTGACTAGAAGAGACAGTCTGCAGCTAAGTTATTCTGCAAGTTAGAGCTGATGATGTAATGCTCATCAGATAGTTTCAAGGGACAATACTTATCATATTGGATCCTCAGATAAATACTGGAGTATTTTTCCTCAACAACCTTTTTTTTTCTTTTTTTTCAGATAGTAGGGGCTGTGTAGACATCCTGCTGTAAAGATGTTTTTGTTTTGTATGCTTCCAGCAGAGATAATGTGCCAGTTTTCAGACTTTAGCAACTGCCAGAATTTGTTTCTGAATAGGAAATATCTTTGGATTTAAAGAAAAACAGACCTATCTCCTTACATCAGTAATAACATATACAATATAGGTGCACACATGCAACTGGAAAACTCATACCAGTATAGCCAGGGCATTTATTTATCCACTATCAACCATATATTCAACTGAAATTTACATTTAACAATATATGTGCTGTACTTAATTCCCTACACATCATTCTTTTTCCCCTTAAAATTCCACCATTTTGAATAGTTTTCAAATGCAGATTGTGGTCAAGGAAATAACCCTATTAAAATATGTTATTTGTAGATCACTGTATGATCATGTTCACAGTTTTTTTCTCTTTATTTGACTGATGGAAATATGTTTTGTGCTACCTTATAATTCTTTTAGCACAGTAGCAGAGGTAACAAAGTAATGGAGGAAAAGATGAGCCTGTACTTCCTATACTCACTCATCACAGATTTCTTAGCTATGTTTATATCATCCTGGAGATAATGTAACATGCAAGGCAAAGTGTAGAGTGAATTAGAGATTTAGTTGGCTCCCTTGATTTTTCCATTTTAGAAAAAAAAAAACACTTTAGCACAAAAATGCTTATACTTTCTCATTCAGATATTCAATTTTGTCTCTAAAAAGAACATTACAAAAAAGGTTTGTGTAAGGTTATAAATGAAGTTTTTTCTGGTATATTTTATTGGAGAGGAAGGTTTCTGTTCCTTAAAGACCTTGTGGATAAAGGACAACAATGGGGAGTACAGGAGCTAATAGAACTAACATTTATGTTTATGTTAGTGTAAACATTTTTGTTTAATGTTATGTTTCAGAGGTTCTGAAATTAATTTTAATGAAAATATTAAAATCTTTACATTACGCAAAAAAATTTCTACATATTTTACTAACAGTGGGAAGCATGAAGCAGTTTATTTTGGTTATTGTTATTTTTTGGAGGTGTTGGTTTTAATATTATCTCTTACTATTGATTAAATCTTAAATAATATGTTATGACTAGGTCGCTGTACCTCTTCTGCAATTATTCCTCTCTAGTTACAGGAAAAGCCTTCCTTCTCTTGGCAGAAGTCTTCAACCTACGTCCTCTTGGGAGCCTTCATCCACTGCTCCTTTGATAGGGAGCTCTAGATATTCCTTTTTCTTTGCATTGTTTTGGGAGTGTTGTCTCTGTGAAGATCATGACACTCTCCTGTACATCCTGCTGACAGGATGCTCCTCTCCTTTACAGTGGTGTAGTGCCTTGAACAGAGCACAGTCCCCATGAGGCCCCATCTCCCCCATCCCAGGAGAAGGCCCCAGGCACTCCTCAGTGTGTCTGGGAGTGCAAAGCCACAGTTCCCAGTAGAAGTTCTGTTTGGGTCAGTGTCAAGGATAATTGTTCCACCTGATGCTGAAGGCTGGGGTGTGGAAACAAACTGTCCCAGGCAGGATGAGGGAGTAGTGCTGGCTGGCATAACTCCATAAATACCAGGGCAGGAATTCAATGGTGGAAAAGCTTTCTTAGAAATAAGTAAATAGAGAATGTTCTTTCTGTAGCTGCTTGACTCCTGATGCAGGGCCACATCCAGACATAGTGGAGGTCAGCTCACTGCTGTCTGATGTGATGAAATCTGGATATTTTATCCACCTCTCTTCTCATGCTGGAGAAGAAACTGGATCAGGAGAGGAGACAAACCCTCTTGATACTAGACAAACCCTCTTGATACTTCATGGAGGCCAATTGAAATGCAGTAACCTATCACCCTCAGCTTTCCATTTTATAACACCTAAGTACATGTAATAGGCTTTATTTTTTGCTATCATTGTTTGCCATATTGCAGCAAACCAGAAAATAAGTCAAAATGAAAAGACTCATCCTCCTGTATCATTTTTCCACACAGGCTCTTTAATTTATTTTTAACAAGGTATTCATTAATTTTTTTTGGACATTCTTATGCAGGAAAAATAACAGTATCTTAAAACCCAATGTCATTCTGTGTTGGAAAATGGCATTGTTATGGAGGTTCTTACAGTTTTGATAATATCTGATAACATTTAATTATTATGGCACTCTTGTGGGTGATTTGTGAATAGGAAAATATACACTTGATTAGGGTGGAACAAGTTGATAATCTTGTGTATGATTCATAAACAATGACACATGGAAAATGGAACCTACAAGAATAAAATTTTTAATTACAGATTGCAAAATACAGACCAGTGATGCTGGTAAGGCATTTTCTCATGTTTTCTAACTCTCTGATACAGTTTCACAGAAATACTTCTTACAGTTCATCCATTTGCTTCAGGCTGTGTTTTAAGCATCTTTCACGAAGAACATCAGCAGTTTACATATCACATATGATCTCAGAGAATTTATTTAAAAAATACAAAGACAATGTTTTTGTATAGCAAAATTGCCCATTGAAAATTGTTATGATAATTGCAGTATAAAATTAAAATTTACACAGCCACTCTTGTCTGTTTAGATATTGCATCTCAGATTCTTCTATCAGGGCTTAGTAGCTCATATAAAGAACCTCTGTGTAGGAAAAGGTTTTCTAGAGCACCTGGTCCCAAACATCCTAGTCTTCACCTTCCAAAAATAAATAATTTGTATCAGTAGTTAATATTTTTTTCAGGATTTTTTTGACCTATCAGTCTAAGATCATTATTTATATTACACCATTTTTTTCAATAAAAAGAATGCCAAAACCTTCCAGCAAACTGTAACAAGACACTGCCTTTTAAAATGTAAGAGGTATTGGGATGTAAGGAAGATATGGAGTAGAATTTGTAATTTAAAACACTATAAACAACTTTTCCCATGTTTTTTTCATTTACATTTTCTTAACTTACAGATTTGGAAGCTTGTTGTATGTTTTTGGGGTTTTTTTTGGGTTTTTTTTGTATCTTGATATAGTCATTCTCCTGCATAACTGTGATGAAATTTGCAAAAAAATGTGCTATAGATGTAAAGATGCTAGATTTGGGATTTTGATGCAGTTATTGTGTCTTTGAGAGAAGAATGCCCTACCCAGATATTTGTGAAATATCTGATGATAGAATTGATAGTTTTACCTAGAAGTTAGAATACTTGTGTTTTGTATAAATACTTGGAAAATACTGCCTGTGTATTTTGGGTGATAATGGCTAGTTTTGTCAAGGATGAGGCACTGCAGTTCTAGTTTCACTCCAATTGATATTTTATTGTGCATATTAAAAGAACAAGAGATTCTGACAAAGATCCAGAACAGTGAAGAAATGGAGGAGAATATGGCTTAGTAATGAGAAGTGGGAGAGCTAATTTTTGCAAATTATTGTAAATAAGAATAAATCAGCCTAAGATCTTTCAAATTTCAGAGACATGTTACAGGGCTTAGAAGGAGCCATGCTGTTTCTTTCTTCCTTGTATTTAGGAAAACTTTATAAACTTGAAGGATTTCTAATAGAATAATAATTATTCCTGAGATGTTTACCTTTTGAAATAAAAAGGGCAATGTTCTAACTAAAAGTACTTGGAAGAATTTCAAGCAGTTGCTCCTGAAATAAAAGCTCTGTGAAATATAGACAGCCTAATTCATCTTAGTCAAGGCCCTGGTGATTCCACACCCAAGTAATTTGTCATTTTCCCATGGTGTCAGAGAATTCAGTGTTTCTGCCATGTAATTCAATGTTTTGTAGAAGCCAGCTAGCTTTTACTTTGCTTTCACTACTGAAATGTACTTATGGCCTCCTTTTTCATCCCAGTTGTGTTATGCTGTGAAATTTTCTGAAATAAGGACTGTACTCTCTGTCCTTCTATATGGAACTAAAGAACTGAGATCTTTTGGAGCCAGAATGGAATTTGTTTAATAAGTAGTTTAAAACTAATTTGATAGCTGATAAATAAGCAATTGAAAGGCAGGTCAGTAGATGATGAAGTACAGTTAGTTACCTCGTGTGGTAAGTAAAGCATAAAATCCATGCTTGAAAATAATCCCAGTAAAAATAATCATCATCAGCTCCCCACACAAATTCTTATATTTCCTAGGAACAGTTTTCCATAGGAACAGTTTATGTTAGAACCATATGAAACATATAAACAGATGTAGGGGTGGCAGGTGTTTGATAGAATTTGTGTGTTCAGTTCTGAAAGGTTAAGGTTGCTGACATAACACATGGTACAGAGGACCCAAACAAGTAAAAATAATGGCAATAATTCTGTCTCATGTAGCACCTTTCATTTCAAGGTGATGAATGTTATATTTTCATGCTCTGGGTAGGAAGAGGTGGAGAGGAAAAAGGTAGTTTGTGTAAGGTCACCAAACAGACCGGTAGCAAATTTGAGTTGTCTGTGTTCCAAGGCAAGTATAAATCTCAAAACAGTAGTTCATCTAACTAATGAATTGTCTTTCTAATATTTGCCTTTAAAGAGATGAGTGTATAGCCAAACTATGATTGATTGGTTTTTGAAGTACATAGATTTGAAAAATGTATTTTTTCTGTTTGGAAAGCAGTGAAAATAAGTCACTTTTACTACTTTGGAAACATATGTCTCATTACATGGGCATCATCCATTATTGTTTCATTTACTGCATATATCCTAAAAGGTTTTCAACTTTTCTCTCATTGCCACATTTTTTAATAAATATATGTATGTAAAATGTATGTAAAATAGACATACACATAAAACAATATAGAATGATGAATATTCAGTTCAGTCCTGTCTTTTGAATGTGGTAGAAGATAGTGCAAGTTTTATAATTGGAGTCCATCAACTAAAAATATATGACAAAATATGAGCCATTTGTACCTTCTGCTACTCTGAGAATATATTAAAAATGGGAAGACATGATAGACTACCTGGATGGTCAGAATAACTTCCTTTTCTGTTTCTGAAGTTCTGATCTGTGCATAAAGCACATATATTCTGTCACATTCTTTCTCTATGCCTCTCTGTGTTCTTTGGGAATTTACGCTTATTTTCATTTTGGTGTCAATAATGTCACTAGAATGCTCATTTCATTTTTAAATTCATATATGCAAATCCATTTATTCAGATCCAGTTCCCAGTTACTCAAATTAATGGGGGACAGTGATGCTTACATAATGGGAAAAGTAGGTCCAACATTTTTTTCTGAGTGTGGTCTGATCTATGGAGTGTCTCCCCATGCCATGCTAGTTGGGAATAATAGGGAGTCAGGAGTCATTAACAGTGCTTGGCCTGAGCTGGTTCATTTAAGTCACCCTTAGCTGAGTGTTTTGTCCTAGTGTCCAAATGCGTGACAATGCCCATTAGCAAGGCTGCTCTCTGCATTTTCCTCTTTTCACACTTGAACTGGTCTTTACCTAACCCAGCCTGCTGGAGAGCATGGCATATAGACCACAGCGAGCCATCTTCCATCTAGACAGGATTTTTAGCTGCAGGTCAACACTGTCCCTCCCAGGCTAGATCTGTAAGTATCCAGGTGGTGTGCTACTGGACTAGGTTGATGCTGCTAGAAAACATACTCTGATTACTCTTCTTGCAGGCAGCTTGGCTACAGCCTATGCTAGGAAGTCTGCCTATCTCTCCTGCAGAGGCAGTTCAACTATTTGTTGGCTGAAAATAGTAAACAAAGCAGTGTAGCTGTTTTCAAACTATATGAAAATGACTAAAGAACCTGACAAAACCTGAAATAGTTGATGCAGTTTCCTGAACTTTATTCATGACATAAACCTTCATACTCCACCTCTAGATGATTATGAGCTGATTGTATTTTGTATTTTTTAAGGATCACAGCTATATGAAGGACAAAGAAACAGAACATATTTAACTAGTTTTTCACCCAGTCATTTTTCCCCCATGTACAAATTAAGTTCTGCTCTGCTGGCAATTTTGCTAATAATCATGTTAGTTTCTAAGCATCACCACATGCATTACAAAGTAGTACTTAATTAGCAATTTGATTTGAATTAATCAAGTTTTTTTGTTAACTCAGAAAAAGACATAAAGATTAGATTAATGTTCATTTTAATTTCCTTTTCCTTTGTGTTTAGAAATAGATTTTGTGCCATTCCGTGCGTAAAATATTTTCTTTCTTTAAACAAGTGTGTGTGTATGCAGCAATTGTTTTGGTGTTGGTTAAAGCAATGAGTATGCTTGGGTTTAAAACACTTAGCATGCAACAGGTTGTTAATATTTCAGAAATATTATTCCAGTAATTATGTTAGGCTAGAATATTTAAATACTTTTATTAAAATTATCACTAAAATTTTTAAAATTTTGATATAAAAATGTGGATGATCATGACCATGCACTGCTGCATACATATCCCTTTGGAAATGAGTGAGGACTCTGGAATGTCATGAAGGCTTAGCATTCCACAAATTGTTTTCTCATTCTTCCACCTTTCACTCCATTGTGACATCATTCTGTTCTGCTCTCTATGTAGCAGAATTTATGTCTAAATGTTAAAAATGTTGGTGTGATAAAAAGAAAGAAACCTTTTTACATTTGTGCTATTTAAGTTTGGAGAATAAAGTGACAAATCAAAAAGTTTTGAAGGTACATATATATTTTTTAAGAGTTGCTGAATGTTTAATCTGTTAGTGCATCAAAGCTTTTTAACAGAATTGCAGAATGTAAGGAAGAAAGACTTGTCAAAGATTATCTTGTCCATTTCCAAGCCTTAGAGTTACCTGCCACTCCTGACAGATAATTTTAAGTGTAGTGTTCAAAATTGGACCTAATTACTCCAACTGAGAATCTTCTTGGTACCAAGTAGAAAGAATACACAAATCTTCAGAATTATTTTCTTTTTATATACCCCAATATGATGTCTACCTTTTCATAACAGCATGGTATTATAGTGACATAGTCTGTTTCTGATCCAGCAAAATCCCTATATCTTTTGCTGAGGGGCTTCTGTCACCAGTCCTTCTCTAGTCTGTGCATTTGTATGGTTGTTTCTCCTTGCTCACACAACTTCTCATTTTCCCTGTTTAAACTTCATCAGTTCTTTTAGTTTGTCCAGTTTCTCAAAACTCTCTTTGACACCAGCTGTCACTTTCATTGACACATCTCTGTGTATGATGTATATGCTGCAATATGATATACGATGTGAATGTATCGCAGTCCGGGCACTTTTAATAGGCATGCTGTCTACCCATTATGCAGATTATCATTGTAATTCAGTGGCAACATTGAGTGGTTTTGGAACAAGGTCAAAAAGGAGGCTGATAAATTGTGCTCGCTACCCATTTTCAGGTTAGCAAACACCCAAAGCAGTTACCAAGTCAAGTACAATTTTTAAGGTCAATTATTCATCCAACTGATCATGATTTTGTCTAGCTCACACTTCTCTAGCTTTCTTCTAAGATGTCATGAAAAACATTGTCAAAAGCCTTGATAAAACCCACATACATAACATCACCTTCTTGTTCCTAATGCATAGGAGCTAAACCATCTACTTTCCTCTTACTGAAAAAGATAGATTGGTTTAGCCTGGTTTTTACCCCCACCAATTTCATGTTAATTATTACTTATTTTATTGGTAGTTTACCAGTGGAAATAGGTTGTCCTTTTTGGTTTTTTTTTAAGTAGAAATTCAATTCACTAGCATAATGCTGTAATTGTAAATGTCTCTAATAAAGAAGATTAATTAAACACTGCAAATGCCACTAGAGAGCTCTATATTTCATGAAGACAGAAAAGTTAATTCCTTTGGACAGCAGTATGACAAAACAGAGCTAAATAAAAGATCAGTATCTTTATTTAATTTCACCCTGCTTTTTTTTTTTTCCTAAAGACTTTTAGATTCCTCTTGGAAGGCAAAACCAACAATTCAGGTTTCATTTTGCCAAAAACAAAGTATATCTTGATTTTACAGTATTGCTAGTTACCACTGAAGAGATAGACAACGTAAGTATGCAGGATATGAATGAAGACAGAAGTTTTCTTCAAGGCTGAGACACAAATTTCCAGACATGCTTTTGCTCAGTAATAAAGGTAGATGAATGCTGGAAAAAGATTGGTTCATAATTTGAACATTCCTTTTGCTTTCCCTTAGCTTTCCTTTTCAACTATGGTTGAAAATGTATGTATGTTTTTTTATACAAAAAGGTAGAATTTGTTTCAACAATCAATCTGATGAATGAGGAAACTGAGGCACTAGTTTATAAGGAAAATGTGAAAATAAACTGATGGAGCCTCTGGAGAGATTTGTAAAATACTGGACTCTAGAATCAAGTGTAGGTATGAACACAGTTCAACGGAATAAATATAAACGTAATTCCTTTTCCAATGTTTGGGATAATTTGAATATTCCAGTTTCATAGATTTCTTAAAAAGATAAGCATCTGTCTTTCTCTTTATCTGAAAGAAGTCTCTGTGAGACTTCAAGGCATATGAAAGTGATTGTTTCAGTGTGTTGGAGAACACTATTCTCCATGTTCTTCTCAAAAAAATATCTTTATATCCTTATTTCCTTATGTAGGTTATTTTGGTCCCTCTCCTATGGTGAGCAAGAGTGACATTGAACTTGCATTTCATCCTCTTCTAGTCAGGGTTCTTTTGTTCTTCTAAATCAGCCAGTGTCCTACTCAAAAGAGAAAAAGCAATACATATTATCCAAAATTATTAGCTATTATCTAGGTGGAGAAAGCATATCACAGCAAATTTATTCATTATTCTCAGATTAGTAATGAAATACTATAGTTTTCTATATTCAAGTATTGTGTAATTGGACCAGATTTTTTTTATAGACAGGTTATAGCTTTGCAGCTTATATAAGCTTTAACACTTTAGGATATGTTCCACTGATCTTTGAACAGTTTCCATGGTAGGTCTGTCAATTATTTTTAGCTTGAGGTCTGTGTAATTCCATTCAGAAATTTCAAACAGGTTTCCTTTCTTGATGGACAGTGAAATCTGTCACCAGTTGGTATCAGATGTCTTTTTGATCTTTTTCTTCCCCCCTCAGCTCTGCCTGATGTACAAGTTATTGTGAGCAATTAGTCTTTTGAGTGTGAGGTTCAATATTGAAAATGTCGAAAGGAGATTTAAGTTTGAAATGTCCCTGCAGTTTGACCTTTCTCTCTCTTTGCTTTGATTCCTTTGATGTGGAGCAAGTGAACTGGTTCTCTTCAGTACCTGTGCACTGACTGTTCAGGGCATGAGAAGTATGTTCATGTGTGCCAGGACTGGAGTGCTCTCCAAAAGTCAGTTTGAGAGTCATCCTTAGTTGTTTTCATGCCATGCTACGCTGCAGTCACTGCTATTGTGGCGTCTTGGACACAACCTCGGCCCAGTACTGAAGTATAAAATGACCTTTTCCCACCTGAATTTAAAGAGAAAACTTTGACAAGCCATCTCTTGGCTTGTTATAGGTTTGGGACTAGAACAAAGGATGGGGAAGTAGTTGCAGCAGACCATTATGCAGACAGTGGTATGTATAGTCAATGCTCAGAGATGCAGTGAAGTTTCTGAGGAGAAAGTTTCTAGTGCATTCACTCTGCTGTGTCCTAATAAAGTCAAAATATTTCATGGAAAAAACTTTGAAAGAATGTTATCTTAGATACAGGACAAATTGTCTTATGCAGACTTGGTGAGAATGTAAGTACTTAGGAATGTATTATCTCCTGAAATTACTTTAATATTAAAGGTACTAATTTGTTTAATCTGATATATTTATATAATTTATCTCTTGTTCTCCTTTATCATGCTTTACTTTGACAAGATAGAGTAAAAAGAAACATGAATTTATTTGCACACAACAGAAATAACAGAAACAATATGTGAAGATTTGGAACAATAGGAGGTCATAAAAAGTTTTCCTTCAAAATATGTTGAATTACAATAGAAGCAATAGCAGGGACTGGGATTTCTATTCATTCTAGAAAAACTATAAACATCAAAGCAGCAGAGGCAGAATTTTATATGCATTAAAGAAGATGCAACTTAAATTGCATCCGAACAAAATGCAGCACTTAAATGTTTCAAGCAAATAATTTGTATTCTGTGTTTTGATTTTCTTAGTAGTAATGCCAGTAGCATTTGATCATTTCAGCCTCAGTGTCTCTGTGGCATCACGTCTGTTTTGGTTTGGCACAACCTGGTTTTAGGTAGCAGGGGGACCAAGAGACAGCTCTGGTGAGGAGTTGCTGGAAGCTTCCCACCATGTCTGGCAGGGTCAATCCCTGATGGCTCTGAAGATGGACATGCTGCTGGCCAAAGCTGGGCCAATTAGAGAGGCTGGTAACACCTTTGTGATGACATATTTAAGAAGAAAATCAAAGCAAAGTCACGGGTTTTGCTTCTAGCCAGATAAGCGGGGGAGAACATGTGAGGGAAACAACATGGAGACACCAAGGTCAGTGGAGAAGGAGAGGCAGGAGGTGTTCTGGGCACCAGGGCAGAGATTCCTCTGCAGGCCGTGGTGAGACCATGGTGAAGAAGCTGTGTCCCTGCAGCCCATGGGTCCATTGGGAATCAGAGATCCACTGGCAGCCCACGGGGGAGCAGGTGGACGCCTGGAAGAGGCTGTGATCCAGTGAAAGACCTGGTGGAGAGAGAGGGCCCTTGCTTCCAGGCTGGAGCAGCCTGTCCTTGGCGGTCTGCACCCCATGGAAAGCGAGACCCACGCTGCAGCGGTTTTGGGAGGACTTTTGTGCCTGTGGAAGGGGCTCACATTGCAGTAGATGTGGTTTGGCTGCTGCTTGTGAGAGTGGGCCCACGCTGGGGAAAGTTTATGGAGAACTGTCTCCCATGGGAAGGACCCCATGGCCTCACAGGGACAGGACCCCTCTCCCAGGGCAGCAGAGGAAAATCTCAGTGATGAACAGACCAAAACCCCCATGCCCTGTCTCCCTGCACTGTCAGTGAGAAGGAGGGAGGGGCTGGGGGTGAAATGGTGGTTTAAGGTCTTATTTTACCTCTCATTATCCTTCTCTGATCCTTTTAATAATAAATTTCACTTTGCAACTGAATTTGAGCCTGTTTTGCCCTTGAAATATTTCTCCCAGCCCTTATCTCACTCATGAAGCCTTCATGGACTCTTTTTTCCTGTTCACTCCTTCACCCAGCTGTGGCAGGGGAGGGTGAGCAAGTGACCCTTGTGGGTTCCTGGCATTGGGCCAGTGTCAAACCAAACAACATCAAGTTCACTTCATATTTTACTACTGTCTTGACTGTTGGGTAGGTTTTGCATTGTCCAGAACTGGTCTGCTGTTGGTAATCCAAGATCAAAGAGAGCACAGCTACCAATGCTTGTCCCTGGGAACCTATTACCTTTGTCCAGACTTATTTTTCCTTTGTTCAGTATTCACCTCTGCTCTGTCGCTTGTTTCATTTTTCTCGCTTTTAGTGCTTGTTATGAAAAGACTGTCATCAAGAACTAAGCCTTATATGTAAAAGATAGAAATAATTTGTTTAGTTTAAGAGTTTGAAAATCTTGCTCTAAATTTAGAATCAATACCTTGAACCAGGTATTGTGCAATCCTGGACTAACACCTAAGTTTAGCTTTATGTGTGTATGCACAAGTGCCACTTCAATTTTTGGATTTTCTAGTGTGTGTTGGAAAAGGACAATATCTAACATTGCCTTTTTGTTCTTGTCAGAAAAATGAGAAGTTGAGTCTGCATAGTAGCAGCGGTGGATCAGCCAGTTGAAAAAGTGAATTCTCAGAAAATACTGACTTTCCAGTTGACAGTTGTCAGTCTACACATGGAAAAGATGAGGAAAAACATATGAAGCAATTGTGGTAGAGGATGACAGGACTATGGAGAAAGGCAGACATTAGCAAAAGAAGCTTCAGGTGCTATCATGCTGGTCAGAGGTGGGTTAAAAGCTTCTTTGCTTTCATTTTTATGTGCAGGTATTTTCTCTGAATTAGACAATGAGATAGATATAGTGGACAATTCAAGCAGCTCCAGTTCAAGTAATTTGAAAGAGTCTGCTATTAGTAAGATTCTTCAAGAATGAAGTGTGCACTACTTTCAAAGAGTAAACCAAAAAATGGTTTAGTCCAGTATACGAGGGTATTTCATTATGTGTCACAAGTTCACGATCTGTTGTTACCTAAGTATAGGAAACATCTGTGCCTCTGTGACAGCTATGTCCAGGTTAATACATTTGGTATCACACGCAAGACTTTGTGTAGCTTTTCCCTATATTTTGCAGTAGCAGCTCTGAAAGCTGGAATATTATTTGGCTCCTTGAGAAAGAAGGTGGTTTTAAATTTAAACATAAGATGACTAATATTGATAAGAAACAGATGGAAGAGTGTGAAAAAGAAAGTTGAAAGAGGCAAGCTTTAACTGTCTGGAAGAATTGACTGAATGGAACTGAAGGAATGTGTAGATTTTAATTAGGACAGAATTATGTGACAAAACACAGCATTAATTCTGCTTATAGTTATTTATGGTAATCAAATTGGAAAGCACCAGCTGTGTTGGGTATTATCTTAAGTAACAGGTTTTTTTGGCTTATATTTCCAATTTGAAAATTTAAAAAAACCTCAAAAAACCCCTAGCTCTAACGACTATGAGTTCACTTGCTAGATTGTGAGCTATCATGGCCTACCTATTAAATGCAATGCGATTCTGATTAGAGAAAATCATTTTTTATTCATTTTGTATCAGAAAAAAAAGGAGATGGTTAGAGCTAAGCAAAACTTAAGATTTCCATTCATAAAATATGGGCATGATTTAGAGGTACTTTTAAAATGTAAAGGGAATGTAGTTGTCTGAATATTATAAAACATTATTGCTGCAAATGTCCCAGGCTTCAAAAAATCTAGAATAACATTACTTTATATCTTTGTATTCCTATTTGGTAGCAGGATTTTATTTCATATTTTTGGCCAAGTTCTGAAGGAATATGACCTCTTTTTACTGAAATGTCTAGCCATTACTGCAGGGGAAATAAATTGTTAGTTCTACTTAAAATCCATTAAAATGGTTTGCTAATTGTAACTGGATAGCTTGCCATTTTGAGTACTGGAGGACCTGAGGCTAAGCAGCCCTGAGATTGTTGTCAAAGTTTTCTTAAAAAATAGTTTTAAAAACCACTTTTTTGTGGTCACTTTCTTGAGTTAAGATAGTAACGGGAGAAGGCTACAAGATAGAGGGAAGCCTTGAATAACTGTAGGAAATGACTGCATAGAATGAAGCCCTTGAGAAAAAGCAGCTTACAGGGACAAAGTTCCATTTTGTGTTCATACTTAAGAATAACACATTGTGTCTCACAGGAATGTAATTCATTGTGGGCTAGTTTAGCATTGTGCACAGAAATCTGAGGCCTTTGTGTAGTTTGTAACTTGCCACACCCAAAGCATTAGTGGTAATGATTTCCTTGTAGGTGATTTTTATTTGTTAAGATTTAGACATTAACAAAATACCAGATTTTCCTAATATTTGAATATTACCATGCCATATTGCCATAGTTTTAATTAAATACTTTAAGTGGAAATATTTGAATATTACCATGCCATATTGCCATAGTTTTAATTAAATATTTTAAGTGGAAAGATACAGTCAGTTCCTATCAGTTCCAGTAAGTTTAATCAGCATTTCTAAAAGTCATTATCCATTTTTCTCCTGCCAGAGAATCTAATTATTATATAGATACTTCAGGATTGCTTTTTCATAAAAATAACTGCAAGCTCACATTCTTAGATCAGCTGTAGTTTCTACTTCATGCTGAAGTCAGTGTTTTAGATCAGTTGTGATTAATGCTGGCAAATGTTTCTACTTTTCAGGGGTAAAGAAAAAATAGCTTAAAGAAAAATAATTCTAAATTCAGGATAATTGGGTATTGCTTGAGATATTCTCCTTTTGTTAATAATGTGGCTAACAGAGTTTGAATTATCAGCATGGTTTTGTCAAGCATGTCAGCATTACAAGGGAAAATGTGATCTAGCTAACTTGGAAACTGTTAACAGGAAGATGAGAGTTAGTTTCAGGTATATCGATGAGGATCGTGAAAGGATTTGTCTAATCATGCTGCCTTCACATCATTCTCAGAGAAAACATGATCATTCTAATTTAAAAGTAGAGTGGTATTTTGAAGAAAGGTGTGATATGCTGAGCTGTTCAATAGCACAGAAGCTGGTATGGATTTGTCAGTGTAATAGGGGTAAGCTTTTTTTATAGTCCAATATTGTCATAATGTATTTAATGACTTTGCATACTCAGTGTTTCTCAACTCTGCTTTAACAAAAGGATTATTCTCCTTAATATAGTATGTATAGGCAATGTATTTCTGCAAGACCAGTTCCTTTAAGAGTTCCCAAGATTGCCAAGTGCAGGGTGTGGAGATTCTGGATTAGTGGCTCCTGGTACTTGAAATGATTAATCCTACAGGAACAAGATTCTACACATTTCAGAAGCATAGAGGCATCAGTGACAGATGCATATTTCTTTTCCTGAAGTCATTATAATTTCAAATTATAAAGATTGACAGAGGGTAGGGACATACTGAGTCAAAAAGCTGTGAAGAATGATGGGATGGTAACAGTTTATTAGTTGCACTTTTTTTCTTAGTTTAAAATTACAAGGTTCCCAAATTTACCTTAGTTTAGTCATAGTAAAGGCTTTTTACTTGCATTTGGTATACAGTGTAATCATACCTTCACTTCTGTTGGTAAAACCAAATAGCAGGAAAATATGTAATATGTCATTATGCATAGCAGTCCAGCAGAGCTGGTGTGTCAGTTGAGTGAGAGTTGAAAAATTTACTTTTTGTCTGGGAATACTCTTTTGGACAATATTTTTTGTTTCCCTTAATCATGTTCATTTAATCACAATCAGGACAGTGTCCTAGATACATTGAAAGATATTTCTGTGTAAAATATGCTATTGGAAAACCATGATCTAAGGACTTTATGTACTTCTAACCTCCCTCCCAATACAAAGGTAGCATGCAATAGATTCTTTTTGGAATTGCTCAGCCTTTTCAAGAGATTAAGAAGTCTCAAAACATGGTCTTGTGCTGCTGCTATATCTTGTTTAAAACTTTTTCTCTTACATCATAATTTCATTTATGTTTCCACTATTTGGAGGAATCTCTGCACTTTATATATATCTTGTGACCAATAAGCACAGACATTGATATTCAGGATTCCTTTCATGAATTTCTGCAACCCAATAGTATTCAAAGTTACCATGTAATGAAGACAGCACAGGTCTGCCTGAACAATATTCTAGTGATGTAACTCTAAAATGGTCTTCTATATCTTTCTTTGAGAAATGAAACTGGTTTACACGGTGCCAGGACTTGAGTCTTGTTCAGGTAGCGCTCATATCCAGTTGAATAATTGGGAATTTCTAGAACTAGGATACTCTCAAAATAGGAATTCTGTGTGTTGTATGTATCAAGTGATTTGGCTCACCACTTAAGTCATGAGTTTAGGTCATCACTTAGCTCCAAATCTAACCACTTTTGAGGATAACAACAAACACGTTATCAAATAAACGCCTGTTCAGTAATGTAATTTGTTTTCTAGAGCCTGTAGTTTGGACTACATTGCAGGCAGCCACCTTATATCTTGAAAGTTGTGGTCACAGAGATGAGCCTTTTTTTTAAAAAAATTTAATTCAGACTAGTTGTATTTGATGGATTTGGTGACTTGAGAAGACATTTCTTCTTTAGATAAGATGACTAGATAATTTGGTAAATTTTTGGAATAAGATTGTCTGACGTCTGCTATATAAAGTTTTCTGGTTTTAGATTGTGAGGAGAAAGCTTAGGGAATTTCCTGAGAATTATTATGGCACCAAGAAACCTATCACTTCTCAATGGGCTGTCTGTGAAGAACTTTGGAGACCTTAGTGTTTTGTAGGCTTAATTTTCCTCATGTCTAAGATTCAGATTTCTCTTGAGACCTCAGGCTAATGGGATTTTGTTGAAGACATCAGCCAAGTTCTGGTTTTCCTGTGTGATGCCTGACTTAAGTTTGAAGTATGTTTATATCAACTTCTGTTGCTGTACAATGTAGCAGTGGAATCCCTGCTAGCAAGAAAAACACTTAGTTGTTTGCTCTGCAAAACAGCTTGATTAACTTGGTTGGGATTGTCCATTCCAGTGTACAGTGATTTGAAGGGCAGCTTACTAAGAGTATTTTGAATAAATAAAGGTAATTCCACCTTTCTCCTGAAATGATTGTTGAGCTGTCATTCAAAAAAATCACTCTCCTTGCTTCAGTTTAATTCAAGGAGTTGTACTGAAGTTCTCTGCTAATACAAAATCTTGGTTCAATTTTCCTGCCAGTCTGATCAAACTTGAAAAGGTTTTCAGAGGTTTTGTTTATTAGATACCATTGAAGTGAAAGTTAAATCCAAAGCAGAAGTTACTGTCTTCTCAGGTTTTTCTGATCTCATATTACGTTACCAGCTCTTTCCTTGCAATTGCCTGTTTAGGTGCCTGCACAAGCAAAACTCTAAACTTCACATTAAAATGTGATTTTTACTGATGTCAATGCATGTTAAGAAGTTAAAGTCTTAGAAGTTGCTCTAATTACATCAGCTGCTGAAGACCAAAGTAGCAGGCAGAGAAATTATTTGTGCCTCATTTGATACTTTTTTTTATGTCCCCAAGGAGTCTGCATAGAGCTATTCAGAACAGGGAGGCTGATGTGAATTGAAAGCTTTGGCTTTTGCGCCTCTTTCACGTTCTAACAAGAGTGGGCACAGAACAGGAGAGAGATGGAGAGGGCTTGTATTTCATTTTCCTTGAGATCATCTTGAACTGAAACATGCCCTCTTGCAAGGCATTTGTACAAAACATATTGCCTTGCTCTTCCTATCCATGTCAAAGGAGTAGCCATGGTAAAAGGAAATATGGTCCAGGTAAGCCTGAGCTGAACATCAGGATACACTCCTGATGTGCTCCATGCCTTATGAGTTAACTTGCCTACACATCTGTGCTGTTTCTTACTCCCTGACTGGCTCTGTATGATTAGCATAACTCATACACAGAAGACTAGGTATTATGAATAAAGTCATTAGTGTTCCTTGGGAAGGGTTACACATGTGCGTGTTTTTTTTACATTGATTTTTACATGTTTGAGTCTCCTAGTTATTAAGTAAATTATTTTCCCGTGTTTTCATAGTGAGTAACATAATGAGATTCCTCTCTCAGATCTAGCTGCTCAGTGGGTCTCTAGCATAATATAATAAGCAATTAAAATAGGCCTGAAGGGTGTTTACTATTGTTTAGTGATGTTCATCATCTTTGGGGTTTTGTTTTTTAGCATTAATAAGTATTTTTCTAACTTTAGCATATGAATCAGAAAATATTGCATCTCTGCTGTGTACAGTGAGTGGTGAGACAGACTCTTTGGTGTGAAATATCATGCACTTGTAAATACACTCATAAGATGGCAGATTAGCAAGTCAAATGTGGTGAGTCATCAAACTGATCAAGCAAATTTGGGTACAAGCCCTTTACTGATAAGAGACCATTTATTTGAAACAGCCAAAGGGTATAGTATTTCAAACCCAATTTTGTATATGAATACTTGAATAGGGGAGTTGTTTTTTGTAAAATTCTAGCAAACAGCTGTGTTCACATTTAGCTTTTTAGCCAAGTGGCTTTTGTTGCAGATTTTCTTGCATATATTCACATAATACATTATGGTATTTGCTGTGACAGAGTGTCTGAGGTTGTAACTCAAAATCCTTACCCCAAGCAACATGACTCACATTCACTCAGAACTTCTACTTTTGTAAATGTGTTATTGTGTCTCTGTCCTAAGCAGGTAAAAAATCTGTTCCTTGAGTAGGCACAAAAATATTTTTCATTTCCTTCACTTTCTAGGCAGTGAGCACTCTCTTTTTCTATTTTTGTCTCATTAACAAAGTTAATTGAAGAACTTTTGCTTCTATAAGGGCCTAGTTTATTTGCTATTATGGAATTCAGATGCTCTTATCAAATAGTCTTTTGTGCTAGCAATCACAGAATTTTGGTATCTGTTTTGCTAAGCAAAACATCAGCAAGGATTGAAATGTTTCTTTTTCTTTCATTCTCTCTCTGTCTCTGTATCTGTTTTTTTAGGGAGACAGATTTGGCCTGAAGATGTATAATTTCTTTGGGTTTTAAAGTGAATTCAGTTTGACAGATGAAAGCCTCCTTCAGATTTTTTTTTTTTTTTAATTCAGAGGATCTCAGAAAAATAGGAAAAATATTTCAGAGTACAACACAAAAGTATGTTTTAACACGAAAAGATGTAGGACTCAGAAATATGTTTGTTCTACAGTTGCTTAGAACAAATATAACTGCTGTAACAAGCAATGGGAAAACTACTTTAAGTCTGACACAAAATCTTTTTTTCTTATCTGTTGTTTGAGTGATTAGATGCCTCTGTTCTTGTTTAGTGATAATGATGCTACCAGTGTGGAAAAAAATCTCACGTAGACAAAGATGCAGGCCTTTTATTAAAATACATTAATTGTATGGGAAAATTGTAAGAATATCCTAATCTTGCTACTCAGACTTTCAGTTAGCAGAATTATCTTTTCATTAAACATATACTCAATCAAAATGTGATACCAGGCTGGTCTCAAATTACCATCCAAATTACCATCCAAATTACCATCAAAAGAATGGTTTTACAGGAATGATTTAAGACAAATGCTTAAGACTAATATTTGCTTTAAGGCAAAGCTTTCTAACTGCATAAATAATAGATGTTGTCAAACATTAGCTTTACTTCTACACATTTTTGGCAGCATGCAATAAATTATTTCAATGTTTACTTTCACTTTTATTGCTGATTAGATGTTGGACCAATAACTGGTCATAGTGCTGTCTTCAAGGTCGTGGCTTCAGTAGGATTATTTGAGAAGAAAGGTATTGCATATGTTATTGCATATAGATAGCCAGCTAGTGGAATGATGGCAGTAAATCTCTGGTGGACCTTTAAGAAATTGGGAAAATACTCTGTCTCCTTATCCACACTAGAGACAATGTTGTGGCTATAGTGGAAAAATGCAAATCCAAGTACATATTCTGTGGACATCTAGTCAGCATGTGTTACTTTCTGTAACAATTTTCTGAAATAATTTATTAAAGTACTCTGTTGGGCTGAGATTTTTGTTATGATGCAAGCAAATCGTTGATATATCAGACAGCAACTTGATAGTCAAGTAGGGATTTGGAGTTTGTTTAATGCTGTTTTTAGAAGTTATTTTGATACCATGTCTGGGAATAGAAGATACTAACATGCATGTTGTGGGTTTCTTTTAAACAGAAAATAATATTTATGTGTTCATTTCAGGTATAATTAAACAAAGTTTTAGTGCTTCTGAAAAACAACCTCAGATAAGGTAGGAGTGATTTATGATTTTAATATAATCGATCATCTTTACTATCAACTCCAGTTGGTTGTTTCACAGTGGAGCTGTGCCTTCATGAAATATGTCCTTTATGGCTTCTTTTTACCTCAGCCTAGGACACTAAGTCTGCTTGAGGATATTGTTAAAGGGTGTTTACACACAGCAGCTTTACATGATAAATAGCTTTTACAATGGACCTTGATACTGAAGTTTAATCTGACACTAGTTGATTAGCCAAATTCTGTTTTTATATTTTTAAGCAGATGTTTTTCCATAGAAAAATGTGCTTGTGTATTTGATGGTGTGGAGTATGTTGTAGTAGTGTAGAGGAGTATCTTGGCCCTTTGAACTCCTCTAGATTTTCTGTATAAACATAGATGCCCATTTCTTGCATTTTGGAGGCCTCATGTCCTTCAAAAAGGAAACAAACAGAAGCAGAATATGTCATACCATCCGTCTTCTAAAGACATTCCTTTTCCTTCTGTTTCTTCAGCAATGCATCAGGTACATTCTCGACCATTATTTTTTCCTTTGGCACCACTCCAAAATCCTCTTGTTTCTTAATTTCTACTCTTCTTTTATATCTGGAAAAAACTCTGGAAATCACTCTTTGCTGCGTCTGCCTCTTGAATTTTTTTTTTTATTTTACCTTTAACTGAGCTAGGTAAGTATTTATAATGATAGCATTGATTATTTTCCTGTTGATTCAAGTGCAAGATTTTATTTTTGCTTTCAGAATTGTTCTTAGCATAACACCATCCAATCTCCCATTTATCACTTTCTAGCTTTACATCTTTAGTCCTGTTGCAGTCAGTAGTGTCAGCCTCCCCATGCTTGAGCATTGAAGAAAGCACATTTTCTTTCTCTTTGTAGAAATTCACTACTATACAAATCTCTTCCCCTCATATAATGATTAGCAAAACTATTTCCTTATCTTAATTTATAACTACTCCTTGAAACTAGTTTTCCCTACTGCCACAAAAACAGATAAAAATTCTTGCCATACTTGGGCTATGGAGGCTGCCATCTATCAGGACATCATGTTTGTTCTTTTAGTTACTTGGTGTCCATGGTGTACCCATTTGTTATTGCTTATCTCAGCTAGTGAAATCAGCAGGCTGGCAAAGTATTTGTCTAGAGTTTAGGGAAGGATGTAGAATTGAAACATGTAAAACTGTATTTCTGACATTGAGATATTGCTACCCTGGTGCTGTAATACCAACTTTTTCCCCACCTTACTAGTACTGTCCAAGGAAAGAAACGTTGGTTTAGTAGAAGTCATTCTATTTTGGACATGCAGAGGAAACCAGCCTTTGTGTGACTTAAAAATGCACAATTGTAATTGTAATTGTGAATTCGGACAGATTTCCTTTAGAGGAAACACGAGAAGGAGTCAGGGAATACTGTATTTTCTCAACAGTCATTGATGACGAATGCAATTAAAACCTTTTTCTTTTTTTTAGTAATGATAGAATTATTCTCCTGTTGCATATAGAGTGTTTCCTCTTTCATTTCTTCCTCTTTAGTGCCTATTGATCTGCTTTTGAGAGTACCTTCACTCACCTGCAGGTTCCACACTAAGAAAATCGAGTGTTTGTTCATGATGAGATGGCAGTTTCATGGTCTACCAGTTGTAGTTCTTTGCAATTTGAAATATCAGTGGTTTATAATTGTATTTTAAAGTGTTAGAAAAAGAGATAATTACATTTGACATACAAATATGTTATTTGAAGTATCATTAAGGTAGTTCTTAAAAGTATGAATTCCAATATGAATCAGTAAGATCTCCTGTTAATTGTCATTATCCCAGCCAAACGTCTGCTGAATGCAATGGGAATTTCTCCTGTAAAATGAATATTTCATATAGCCGTTGCAAATTATCATGTATTTATGCATCATGATTGATAAAACAAGTTTTCTGTTTGAAGTACTTTTCCTTTTACTAAGAAGCTTCACACACCTTAAGTTGCTAAGCTGTGATTTCAGAATACATACTGTGTGAATTAAATAATATTTGAAATAAAACTATTTTGATCAGTTAAGAGATTGATCTTCACAAAAAAAGTGGTTATTGTCTGTACTAAGTTCTATTTTACAGCTTTCAATACAGAAACTGTATTAAGAATTTTAATTATGAAGTAAAAATCCAAATTTGATGTCGACCTTCTGTAGTTTCAGTGCTGTTTGCTAAAGGGTGCCATATAATAACTGCACAGTTTAAACTTAATGTCTGCAAGCTATAATGGTCTACAGAAAAATACTTCAGTCTTTGTTGATATTTTCAGTCCTGGGAGTAATTTGAGTAAATCCATTATCTTTTATCAGTGATGTTTTCCTTTTGGTTAAAAGTCTTAAAAGCTTTGGTCAAGTCTTCAGCAGCTATTCACACATGTGCCCTCATTTTTCAAATAATGCTGTACTTCTATATTTAGAAAAAAAAACCCTGACAAGGAACTTGGAGTTGTCCGGAGTGTATGGACTCCATGGGAACTCCTGGAGTCTTTGAAGCACACAGATACTACAAGTAGACATTAAATCTGGTCCTCCTAGACTTTAAATCAAATTGTTGCTGTCATACTAGAAAACAGAAAAAGTTCCCTAAGTTAAATAACAGGGAAATCCAAATTATGTCCTACTTGGTCATTGCTGTTTGCTTTTATTCCAGACATATCTCTATTCAGAAAAAAAAAAAAATTGAAGACCTACAAAAGAAAATACTCTGATTTACTTCCTTTTGGTTTGTAATACAAGCCACTGACAGGAGAAGAGACAAATACCACAGAACAAGGAGCAGTGAAAAAGGGAACATGTCAAAGAGGTAAAGGTTTTATGAGTGTCCCCATATAACTGAAGATTTTAAGGTTATAATGACAAGACCACACTGGGTTCTTTTGGGCCTTGAATATAGCAGTATTGAAGCTGTTGTTAGAGAGCTGAAAATGAAGAAGAAGGACTAAATCAAAATTATTCTTCTGGTGGCATATATTTTAGATTATTATAGCATGGCTTCCTCTGTTACTTTGAGCAGAACCAACTTACATTTTTGTTTAAGTGACTGAGAGGAAATGCAAAGCTTCTTTTCCTCTTACTGATTATTAAGAGAAGACCTAGGGAAAATATGTCAATCTGAATTTCACTTGACTTTCTCAAGACATCTGCCAAAAGGCACGAAAACCCCAGCAACACCAATGAGGTTGTCTTCCTGATCCTATTAAAAATGTGTCTCCCTGTGGCAGAGAAGAATGTTTTCTTTATCATTTTGTTTCTGTGAAAGCACAGTTCAGATCTGGATGGTCTTTAGAAACTAATGTTTATGAATGTCTTTCTTCTTATTAAATTAGCCAGCACAGAAATTCATCAGTAAAAAAGTGAGAATAATTCTGTTGTGGACTAGTTAATGTTGATATTTAGATTTCATCACCCTCTCAGTAGAATTTTTAAGCTTGACATAAGATCACTTTGAAAAAAAAAAAGAAAAAGTTTCTGTTCTTGTAGATTTATACATAAGACTTGATGATCCTCAGGGTGTTTCTGTGGGATTAAATGTTAGAATACCTAAATTAGCCTCTGAAGTGTAGTTTAGAGATAATTGTATTTAAGAGAGGTACAGGGCTGCTGGCTGAAGTTCAATTCTTTGGCCAAAGCTCTTTGCTTAGCTTCAGGTCTAATAGTCAACTTGGAAAGATTGTTTTGTGGACTAATGTTCTTAGTGATATGCTAAATGTTTTATAGAGGAAGTCTGCTGATATGCTTTTATTTAATCTCTGGGCCTGACAACGTGTATGACTTTAATACACAAGTTAAAAAATCCTAAACAATAGATTTACTTCATTGAACTGGTCCACGTCAAACATATTATTATAATCCTTAGGGTAGAATGAAAATGAATTTCATAACATCAAAATATATGTAAAAATACTTTGTGTTAGTCTATGTAAAAAAAATCAGTTAATAAAATTATGTTTATCATATATTTAGACTTTTGAATAAATGTGTCAAAATTTAACAATAGTTAAGGTACATTAATGCTGCTTTTCTCATAGAGTAATTTAGTGATTCAGAGGAAGGGATTTTCTTTTACAACACATTGTCACTTACATTGTCTAAATTTTTAACATTTTAGATTATCCTTTTTTTCTTCCCAGCATTATTGAGAAAACAAGTCATGCATTTCAACTTGGTATTTACGTCTGCAAAGTTTTAATCTCGATATGCTATTAAGTATGCATTGCTGTTGCTTCTGACATTCTGTACTTTTTAGTCATTTGTTGTTGTCAAAATGATGTTACTGCAAAGTGCTGCTAATTTAGTTACTGTTCTTTAAAAACAACAGAACTTGACATTTTTGCAGATGGCAGGATGCTTTAAAAATATATCATTAAAATAAAGACTAACTTTGAATATTAGTATGTGGAGGATGGAAATAATTGAGTCATATGAAAAAAAAAAGCTGTGTCTCACCTCAGAAAAATGGATTGTACAGTAAAGTATTTTTACAACATTCTGTCATGCCAGCAATATGACTACTTAAGGTGATAATATCATTTACTGATATGGAGAGTTAATAATATGCTTTCCTCTGTAGTAATAGTTTTGAAATAACTTTGAAGTTATATTTTAATTATCAGTACATAGTAATACTGTCTTGGGAGTTTTAGTGCAATAGATGAAATCCTGAATATGTTAACTATTTTGAAATGTCAGATATTTTTCAAATTTAAGACTTGTTTTAAAACTAGGTTCAACTATTTCATAGTGAGAGAGTTGAAGTTTTTTGATGCTGATTCCAAAGCAAAAATGGAGCTGAGCTGATACAAAATCTGCCTTGAACTCTCACCTGAAAATGTGATTGGAACCTGTTTATTCTGCAGAAAGATGGCTACCATGCATCTTTTTGAAAAATTTGCTACTATTAAATTAACAGCTTTTTGTTTTCCAAAATGAAGTATTGGAACATTACATTTGGCATGTGATGTTTATCACCTCAGGGCTTTTGAGACTGATCAGCCAAATTTGGTTTTGTTTAGAACAGAATAACATAACTGAACTTGGGTGTGCTTTACATGTCTCTTTTTTGTTGTTTCTTTTTTGTTTTAGTTGTCAAGCTTATCAAAAAAGGTAATACAAGAACTGAATTATCAAAAACAAAGGAAACAAACATTATTTAAAATAATTGGAAACTATATCCTTCTCCTATCAGCAGAAATGAGGCAGTTGAGTTTTTACATGCTATATTTAGAGTATGTCCAAGGTGTTTATTAGTGAACTAATCCTCTCTGTTGAAGAAGGCTTTCTCAAGTGGCTTACTAATTAATATGAGTTATTGTAATGTGAATGCTCAAGAACTGAGAGTTAACAGCAACTCAAAAACTGGCTCAGATGACCTCTGAAGCAGGAGGAACAGCTTTTCTCTGATTTCAGAGAAACCAGAATCCATACCTGTACTTGTTTAATATGTTCCATATGCCTTCCTTGCACTTGTTTATGTTCTTACAAATCTAAGGTTGAGTATTTTTTATAATACATAGCTGTTTTCTCAAACTGTTACATATTCCAGCTGACAGGTCTAAACTGAAGTTTGCAAGGAAGAGTTCTTGCAAACTTCAGTTTAGACCTGTCAGCT